ATTGTGCAACCCATATTAATTGTTGAATTCAGTACACTTTGAATGTAATAATACATTGATTTCAACACTACTGAACCAGTAATTTTCTAACTTCCTAGTACTACGATATCCTATGCTAATTTATAAAACTTTTCCTTAAAAAAATTACCAATCGCACTGATGTTAGGGTTGGACAAGAAATAATATGCCATTTATGTTGTTGAGCTCTTTCAATTATTTTGAAGGGTTTAGACTTTTACTATTCTTTTACTATTTATAATGTTTTTATTTATTTATTCCTATTAAACATCTCAACATTTTCTATGACTCTTGTAACGTCTTTACAAAAAAAAAAATACTGATCACTGATCATAATAAATATACTACTGCTAATCTATATCTAATCTATTAATATGCTAATCTAGATATCACAAGGGTTGTGAAACTTTGTGGTATTGTAGCTACTCACTTTAGGTTTTGCAGACAGAAGAAGGACCCAAACCCAGAACATGTTTTCACAGCATGTTTACTCTTCCTGCATCGGTCCAATCAAGTTTTTCATCTCACATAGATATGTACCCACAGTGGCACACACAAACACACACACACAAGTTGCTTGAAGCTTCCAGGGGGTTTAATCCACAGATTGAGAGGCCCTGCTTTCCATGGTCATAGCACATAATTTGTCTATCAGACTGTCACCACGTAATCAGGCAGCAGTCTTATACATTTCCCAATGTGATGCTCTCCAGATATAGTGGACCAGCTCCCATAATTCCCCCAGCCTGCATTGTTAAAGTATAGATTACTAAGCATCCTGGGAGTTGGAGTCCAGCACATCAGAAGAAGGGTCAGGCTGAAGAAGGTTGCGGTGCATACTTATCTGAGAGTAAGTCTCACTGAAGTCAAAGGGACTTTGCCAAGCCTTCGTAACTACACAATTCGTTGAAACATTGCTCTCTTGCAATTTTGCGAAAAAAGGAAGATGCTACATTATTCAGATGATCAATGTCCTGTGACTTATGCCTCGGCTTGTGGAAGCCCCCCCTCCCCCCAAACAAACAGAGGTTGACCTTCAACATCTTAATTCTATGTTAACATTTGATTTATTTGACAAATTTAGGCACTGTCCATCTCGCTCTGAGTCAGATACATAATGTTGCATATTGGCCCAAGCATCCTAGTATCCATTATGTGGTTATCTTAGTGCAGAGATGTCAAACTCGCAGTGTCACATTGTCATCATGTGATGTAGCTTGACTTTTCCCCCCTTCGCTAAACCAGGGGTGGGCGTGTCCAGCGTGTGACACATCCGGCCCATGGGCCACAAGTTCAACGCCCCTGTCTTAGCGCATAGTCATAGCCCAGGTGTCCCACTAATTGTTTCATTTATTGCCACACTAAGCAAATGGGGTCAACATTCCTGAATCTCAAAATTTTCAGCAGGAGGAGGAGAAGGTAATTCTGACTATTGCTTGACAGCTAAGGCTAGTTGAAGTCTCCCTAGAGGTTCAGCCTTTGCTGGTGCATAAAACAAAATAGACTTAAGGTCAGCTTGTGCCTTGATGAGATGCGTCACTTTTCACACTTTTCCGTGTATTTATCTCTCAGGCACTCTAGAAAGAGCTTCTGCCTCATTTCCTACTTGAAATTTAAAATTTAATAAAATTTGTATGCTGCCCAATCCCGTGGGACTCTGGGTGGCTTACAGAGCAAGATAAAAAAACATTTAAAATTTAAGAATAAAAATACAGTTGTTAAAATTACACATCATCCGTTCTGTCTAAGTGGGGCTGGACATTAATCAACAGCCACAGGCCTGCCGTAACAGCCAGGTTTTGGTGGCTTTTCGGAAGGCCGGGAGAGTGGTAAGGGTTCAGATCTCCACGGGAAGATCGTTCCACAGGGCTGGAGCAGCTACAGAGAAGGCCCTCCCCCGAGGGGCCGCCGGCCGGCATTGTCTGGCCGCCGGCACCCGGAGGAGGCCCAACCTGTGAGATCTTGTTGGTCGTTGGGAGGTATGCGGCAGGAGGT